CCGCCTGCGCCGCCGCCAGCTGCACCTGCAGGAGGCAGCCGCCGGTGGGCGGTGAGCGGTGGCGGCCTTGGCGCGCCGCATCGCCGTTGTAGGAAGAGGCGCCGCTGCGGCGAGGCGCGCGCCTGCCACGAGTCTCCGATGGCGCGCTGGTTCGGGTCGAGCCGCGTGCCGCCCTGGCCGGCGAGGAGCGTCACCCAGATCTGGCCGTCGCGAGAGAGGACGGAGGCGGCCGCCGCGCAAAAGTCGCGCAGGAGCGCGCGCTGCCGCTGGATCTGGTTCCGCCTGCGTGGCTCGGGCGGCGCCTGCGGGAGGTTGAAGACGACGCGGTCCCACTCCTCCGACGGGTAGCGGCGGCTCAGCTCACGCGCGTCGACGCCAAAGTCGCATCGCGCACCCGCTGCGCGCACTCGCGCCAGCGCCTCCGCGGCGCGCGGATACCGCTCGTGCAGCTCCATCTCCTCCTCGAAGGCGGTCGCGGTGACCTCGATGGCGCCGCGCTGCGTGGCACAGAGCGCGGCCGCGTAGCTGAAATCGGCCTCGCCGCACAGCAGCACGCGCGATGGGCCCGAGAGCGGCTGGACGCCGAGGTCGAGCAGCGTGGGGAGCCGGACCAGCATGGAAGGTAAGATTGGAAGGTAGGCTTCAGGGGCGGTGCGGCGAAGCGGGGCAGGATGTTTTCTTTTTTATGTGTGGTTCATGAAGAGCCAACGTAAAAACTGTTTTGACCGCGCAAGACAAAGGGTGGCTAAGGGCTCTGCCCGCAAGGCGCCCGCGTCGCTGACGCGGTACAGTACCATTGACTAATCCCGAATGTGTGTGTACACACACACACACACACACACACACACACACACACACACACACACACACACACACACACACACACACACACACACACACACACACACACACACACACACACACACACACACACACACACACACACACACACACACACACACACACACACTAATCCCGAAGAAGAAGAGTAACTAACTCTTTACAGATACAGTGGGTTGCGGGCATTAAGAAACCTTACCATTAAGAAACCCTACCAAGCGATTTCCGCGAAATTCTAAGAAACCACGGCGCGCCGAGACTGGAACGTTTCGGAATTAAAGCATGCGCGACGCTGCCTCTTTGCACCGCTCGCTCGCGGCGGCGGGAGACATGGCCGCCGATGCGGCTCGCACTCACTCGGCGGGCCTCCGTCCCACAGCCGCCCGGGCGTGCCACGGGTCGGCCTGGCGCTGCGCTGCTCGCACGCTGCACTGCACAAAGCTGCGACAACAAGGGGAGGCTCCTGAGCTTGAGCGTTGAGCAGTGCAGCTGCGGGCGCTCGTGGGCGGCTGTGCAGTGTGAGAGTGCCTGATTGGGGGCGAGTTGGTGCTGCGCCAGGCCCAGGGTGCGCAGCATGCCCTCTTGCTCTGTGCTGAGGCATGCTGGCTGGCGCCCAACACAATGCCCTGGGTACATTGCTCCACGCCGTGCTGGCTGGTGCAGTACTGCCAGTGCGCCGACTGGCGCGCAGGGTGCGCGTCGCCGCGCGTGGCACGGATGGAATGCTTTGTGTATGGCAGATGGCACCGCCGCGGGTGACCGCGGTGTGTCCCCCGCGTGTGTGTGTGTGGACTTGTCACTTGAGCCTCTATGATTCGTAGACCATCTGCGCAGCGCCTCGGAGAGGCGCGCAGGAGGCGCGCTTTGTACTCGGTCGGGTTTGGATGATAGCGGGGGGCCCCGCCGGAGGCTGGTTGTTGATAGCAATACCATTTGTTGTTGTTGTGTGATGTGTGATGCGGGAGAACAAGATAGGTGGACGCTCTTCACGACAAGTCAGTCTCTGGAAAAGTGGTAGGCGACAGTGTAGGTCGGTGCGTTTTTTGTTTCAGTCAAGCCGGTCACCAGGAGAGAGGATCGGATGGTTCGCCGCCGGCGGTCCGCCTCGCTCACCTCATCGCCCAGCCGTGCCCGGACATCGCCCAGCCGTGGCCGGAGCAGCAGCCGCAGCAGCCAGTCTTACGATAGTCGTAGCCGCTGCAGAGGCCGCAGCAGTAGCAGTAGTCGCAGCAGTAGTCGTAGCAGTAGTCGCAGCAGTGGCCGCAGCAGTGGCCGCAGCAGTAGCAGCAGCCGCGGCAGAGGCCGCCGCCGCCGCAGAAGCAGCAGCAGCAGCGACGGCAGCAGCAGCAGCAAATCCAGCAGCCGCAGTCGCAGCCGCCATCACAGCCGCAGCCGCCGTCCCAGCCGCCGGAGCCGCCGCCGCCGCAGCCGGAGCCGCCGCCGCAGCCGATCCCACAGTTCACGAAAGGCGGCGGAGAAGGTGGCGGAGAAAGCGGC